TTTCCCCCTCTCACCCAGGCTGAAGCATGGGAGCTATGTGCGGGCCTGCTCCCACTATGATCTTCAGGGCTGCCTGCACTGATGCTACAGTGATGGGCAGAGCCACCACACTCAGGAGGGCCACCAACCTCTGTCTCAGCCATCCAGTGATGTCGCCTTCACGCCGGGCTCCCACCACCTTCTTGAGATGGCACAGAAAGTGGCAGGCGGCCAGTGATGGGGACACTCGGGGCTTATCCCTCCTTCTTTCACCTAGCCATTGCTTCACTTGTCCGTGCCTCACTTTCTTCCATCAGTAAAATCAAGAGACTATCACCCATTCCCCCACCTCCCAACACAGACAGACAGAGGGAGTGAGGTGAGTGGATGAGAAGAGGGCTCCTGGAGCCAGACTGACCATGGCCAAAATGAAGCCCTGTGAGAGGGTGAGCAGAGACAGACAGAAAGGGAGAGACAGACAGACAGAGAGGGAGAGACAGAGACAGACAGACAGAGACAGACAAACAGACAGGGAGAAACAGATGGGCAGCGAGAGAAAGAGAAAGGGAGAGAGAGAAGGACAGAGAGGGAGAGACAGACAGGCAGAGAGAGAGAAAGACAGACAGGGAGAGACAGACAGGCAGAGAGAGAAAGAAAAAGGGAGAGAGGGAGAGACAGACACACACACATACACAGAGCCAGAGGGCCAAAGAGGGAGAGACAGACAGGTAGACAGACAGAGAGAGACAGAGAGAAACGGAGAGAGAGAGAGAAAGGAAGAGGCAGTGAGAGGGAGAGTCAGAGAGAGGGAGAGACAGACAGGCAGAGAGAGAAAGAGAGAGAGAGAGAGAGAGAGAGAGAGAGAGAGAGAGAGAGAGACAGAGGGAGAGACAGATGGGCAGAAAGAGAGAGAGACAGAGACACAGAGAGAGAGAGAAAGGGAGAGAGAGAAAGAGAGAGAAAGAGAGAGAGAGAGAGAGAGAGAGAGAGAGAGAGAAAGAGAGAGAGAGAGAGAGAGAGAGAGAGAGAGAAAGGGAGAGGTAGTGAGAGGGAGAGGCAGAGACAGACAGACAGGGAGAAACAGATGGGCAGAGAGAGAGAGAAAGGGAGAGAGACAGGGAGAGACAGATGGGGGAGAGAGAGAGAGACAGACAGACAGACAGACAGACACAGAGACAGAGACACACATACAGAGCCAGAGAGGGAGAGACAGACAGGCAGAGAGAGAGAAAGAGACAGGGAGAGACAGATGGGCAGCGAGAGAGAGAGAGAGGAAGAGGGAGAGGCAGTGAGAGAGAGAGGCAGAGAGATAGAGAGAGAAAGGGAGAGAGAGAGACAGGCAGAGGGACAGAGAGGCAGAGAGACAGAGAGGGAAGGAGACAGAGAGAGGGACAGACAGAGAGGGAGAGATAGATGGGGAGAGAGAAAGGGAGAGAGAGACAGACAGACAGAGGGAAAGAGAGACAGGCAGAGAGAGAGACAGAGAGTAAGACAGACAGAAGGAAAGACAGAGACAGATGAAGGGAGAGAGAGAGACAGAGACAGGACACAGACTGAGATAGAGACAGAGCAGAGGGAGAGAGAGACACACAGAGACAGGAAGGCAGAGAGACAGAAAGACACATACACAGAGACAGAGAGCAGAAAGAGAGAGAGACAGGCAGGCAGAGACAGACAGGGAGAGAGAGACAGAGGGAGAGACAGACAGACAGAGGGAAAGAGACAGACAGGTGCAGAGAGACAAACAGAGGGAGAGACAGACAGACAGAGACAGAGTGAAAGAGACAGGGAGAAAGAGAGAGGGAGAGACAGACAGATAGGCAGAAGGGGAGGGAGACAGACAGAGGAAAAGAGAAACAGAGGGAGAGACAGACACAGAGAGATGGGAACAGACAGAGAGAGACAGACAGAAAGACAGGCAGAGGGGGAGAGAGACGGATAGGTACAGTGAGACAACAGGAGAGACAAACAGAGAGAGAGAGAGAGAGACAGAGACAGAGGGAGAACACCAGACAGAGAGAGAGAGATACAGACAGAGGGAAAGAGAGACAGGGAGAGAGAGAGACAGAGGGAGAAACAGATAGGCAGAGGGAAAGAGAGATAGAGGAGAAGAGACACAGAGGGAGAGAAAGAGGGAGAGAGAGAGAGAGAGAGAGAGAGAGAGAGAGAGAGAGAGAGAGAGAGAGAGAGGTAGAGGGGGAGAGAGATGGACAGGTGCAGAGGGACAGCAGGAGAGACAAACACAGAGACAGAGACAGAGAGAGACCACCAGAGAGAGAGAGAGACATACCGACAGAGAGAAAGAGACAGGGAGAGATAGACAGATAGGCAGAGGGGGAGAGAGATAGAGGGAAAGAGAAACAAACAGAGGGAGAGAGAGAAGGAGAGACAGACATACAAAAGAGACAGAGAGAATGCAGAGACAGAGTCAGAGATAGCAGAGATAGAGACAAAAATAGCAGAATTAGAGGGAGAGAGGGAAAGACAGAAAAAAAGAGCAGAGAGAAAAAGAGAGAGCAGAATGGCAGAGAGACAGAAAAGAGACAGAAACAGAGTCAGAGAGAGAGAGAAATAGAAAGAGATAGAAACAGAGACAGAAAGAAATAGACAGATATGGAGATAGAGAGAAATAGAGAGATAGAGAGACAGCGAGACAAAGAGAAAGAAACAGAGGGACGGAGATAGAAAGAGAAACAGAGACTTCTCCCACAGAGACACAGAACCATCCCAAAGATAACTGGATAATCCTCCAACTACCAGAAAGTGTGAGATATCATCTTCCCAAAGAGTGGATTTCAGCAAGCGACCATCATAGAGGAAAATAGGAAAAACTCTCGCAAAAGAGCCAGAATCTCCCAAATAACAGGGGAGCCAGAGGCAGAGATGCAGCCCCAGCCCCAAACCTTTCCTTCCTACGTCATTTTCCTGTCATTTTCAGGGCCTCTTTATTTGGGGAGGCCCAGAGCCATCAACTGCCTGTGCCTCCTCCTCTCATGGTAGGAGGATAGGGTCTTGGGCCCCCTTCCCCAGCTCTCACTGCTGCATCTGCCTGTAGCTTTGTGTGTCTGTGGGTCGGCCTGGAATTCTTTGGGGACCTGCGGCTCTGAGCAGATCCCTCTCTGCCCCTTCTCTTTTCCGTTCTCAGCTCAAAAAAGGAATTTCTTCCCGTGGATTATTACAGAGACTATACAGGGCGGCGCGGAGAGGGAAATGCAGCCCGAGGAGGGGGAGCCTTATGCTGGAACTCTGGTGCACGACATATGTAGACCAGGCTCTGGGCTTTTGGAACACCCCTCCCAGAAATACCACTCCCCTCCTGACTACCACAGAGGGTGGCAACGAGGGACTTGGACCAATGGCTCTCAGCCGACCACAGGGAAAGGTACATGGTGCAGTGCCAAGAGCACTGGGCTTGGAGCCAGGAAAGATTTGGGGCAAGTCACTACCTCAGTTTCCTCATCTGTGAAATGGGGATGATAATATAATAATAATATTAACAATAACAACTTTATATAGCATCTTAAAACCTGCCATTCTTCTATCTACATTATCACGTTTGATCCTTACATCCGACCTATGAAGCAGATGCTAAGGCATGTCCCCATTTAGTAGATGAGGAACTGGAGGTGCACAGCTGACCGCCCAGCTGTTCCAGCCACCCCGCTGGGTCCCTAGGACTCCTTACTCTGCCCCACCCCAGACCCATGATCTCATCGGTCACCAGATCCGGCAGCTTCTGTCTGCTCGGTACCTGCTGCATCGACCCCTGTCTCTCTGCTCACACCCCTACCCCCCAGTTCCATTACTGAACCTCCCATCTGGACCCCTGCAGTCGCCTCCTGACGAGCCTGCCTGGATCCATCCTCCACTGAGCTTTATTCCACAGCAACGTCGCTCCTCTTCTCAAGCAGCTCCGGGGCCCCCTATTGTGTCTGGTCAAATGCAGACCCCTCTGCCTGGCATTTAAAGCTCCCACCACCACCGCTGTGTTCGGCTTTTCTTTCCAAGCCGACTCCACACCACGCCCGGTCATACACAGGCATCCTACTCCAGGCAGCCCGCCGATGCCTCCTTCCTGCGGGTCAGACGTGGTGCTCAGTGTCCCCCCAGCGCACCAACGCTCCTTTCCTTTCCCTGGGATTGTTGGCATCCCTAGCTCCCTTCAAGGCTCCTCTCACATGCCCCCTCCTACAGGAGGGCCTCCCAGGGTTGGGCCCTTCAAAGACAGGGATCCCCCTGGGGAGCTCTGCTTCTGAGGGACTCGGCTAGGCGGGACTTCCTTGTACATTCAGACAAAAGCCTTGAGAAAGGAGGTAGGGACATGGAGCTCTCAGTAAGGTAACTGAATGCGCATATCTCTGGATTGGACCCTATCTTGTATTTCCTTATCTGTGTCCTCCTTGTATCCCTCCAATAGAATGTAAGTTCCGTGGGGGCAGGGATCAGCTCACTCTTGTCTCTATATGCAGTGCCGGGCAGAGTGTCTCACATGTAATAACAATATGCTGTTTTAAGCTTCTCATTTGGTCCTCACAACAGCCCTAGGAGGGAGGCATTATTATTAATATCCCCATTTTGCATCTGTGGAAGCTAAGGCTGAGAAAGATTAAGTGACTTGCCAAGGGTCACACAGATAGGAAGTATCTGAGGCAGAGATTTGACCCCAGGGCATCCTGACTCCAGGCCCAGAGCTCTATCCACTGCACCGCCCTGCTGCCTCAGTGTTAGCAGGCTATTCTTGATGATTGACCCATTGTAGCACTAGCTGGGGGGCCTCAGCGGAAACAGAAGCAGGCTGGGAAACAGGAGAACTGGGTCTTGCTCTGTCCGACACTACCTGTGCTATTGCACTGGACAGTCACTGATCACGGCCCCTCCCACCCCCTACTGCCTCCAGAGTTCTCTGCCTCTAACTCCAAGAAAGAGGGGATGGGTCCTCACCCTATGAGGGGCCTAGAACCAGGTGACAGTCTGACGCAAGGATGTTAGGGCTGCAGGATGGGACTGGTGACTCGGCTTACCTTGGGTTGTCTTCATGTTCTCCAGGATGTCAAAAGCAGATAATTAAGAGTCATGCCTGTGTCAATAAACAGACAAAAGTTCATTGTTTAGGTTCAGAATACATGATTAGGAATAATAGCAATATTTAGCATTTACATAGTTCTTCAAGGTTTGCAAAACACTTTACGTGCCTTATCTCACTTGATTCTCACAACAATTCTGGGAGGAGCTATAATTACCCACTTTGGCAGATGGGGAAACCAGGGCTGAGAGAGGTTTGTGTGAAGCACCCAGGGTCACCCAGCTGGTAACTGATGCAAGACGGGAGGAATGCAGGTCTTCTGGACTCCCGGTGCAAGGCTCTATTGACCAAGATCTGGCAATAAGGCCAGCCAGTCAAACCTGGGGCTCGAGGAGGAAGAAAATCCCACCAGGCCCCACTGGGCCCAGGTCCAGCAGCCCCACGGAGAAACGGAAGCAGGATCCAGGCTGCCTGCCAACCCTGCCTCTCTCTCCCTCTCCTCCTTCCAAATCTGGCTCAAAGCTGCCTTCCTCCTCCCTGGAAACGGAAGGTTCAGTGCCAGCAGTATCTGATCACTCCTCTGCTCAGCAGCCTCCTCCCCCTCTCCCTCCTCCTCCCCTTTCACACAGCACCCACTTGGGTGAGTTTTCCCATTCATTGCTTGGGGGACACGAGTCAACTCGTCCAAAACTGAACTCATCTTCCCTCCCAAACCTGCCTCTCCTCTTGACTTGCCCTTTTGGCTGATGTCACACCACCCTCCCAGGTGCCAGGCTTTAACTCTTTCCCCCCTCTCTTTCTGAACCTGGGAGCATGTTCAATTCTGTTGCTTCTCCCTCTGAAATCCATCTTGAATCCAGTCAGTTGGCTCCTTAGATGCCATCATTGATTTCCCATTACCTAAATTTAGAACCCTCTCTCAGCTCACTTAAACCATTAAAATTGTTTGCCAACTTCTCTCCCTGCCTCTGTGGGCTCCAACAGCTCATCCATCAATCAACAAGCATTTATTAAGCACTGACTGTGTGACAGGGACTGTTTCAGGCTCTGGGGATACAAAAGAAGGAAAACATTCTTTGTGTTTCCTCAGGAGGTTTGCACGGCCTCCTCTCCGATGAATCCTTCATGTGCTGCCAATTTAATCTTCCTGTGGCATCGACCTGCTCTTATCCCTTCTGTGTTCAAGACTTCATGGCCAATTGGATAAAATTTTTTTAAAAAAGCCCTCTGCCTGCATTCAGGGCTCCTCATTCAGACCCCTACCTAACCTTCCAGTCTTATTTCATGGGTCTAGCCAAATGGAAATGATTCCTTGTTCCCTAAATCCTTGTGGCCCTCTCCTGCTTTTCTGCCCAGTGGTGCAAACCATCCTTCTGTGCCTGGGATGGACTTCCCCCAGCCCCAACCTCCTCCTGTTGACTGCCTTCCTCCTCTTCTCCAAGGTCCCAATGAGAGGCCACTTCATCCTCCGTGATTCTCCCTCAAGCCACTCTGAGCTCTTTTATCAATCAACAAGCCTTCATTAAGTAGCTGCTATATCCCAGGTGCCAGACCTTAAGTCCCCTCTCTCTTTCTGAACCTGGGAGCACGTTCAATTCTGTTGCTTCACGCTCTGAAATGAAAATCTTGAATCCAATCTGTTCACTCCTGAGATGTCACCATTTATTTCCCATTACCCAAATTGAGAGCCCTCTCTCAGCTCACTTAAAGCATTAAAATTGTTTTCCAACTTCTCTCCCTGCCTCTGGTGGCTCTGTTTCCGGTGCAAAGACCAAACAAAACAGTCCCTGTCCTCAAGGAGCTTACATTCTAACTGAGAAGAAAACAGGCACACTCAGAGCAGAAACAAAGTAAGCTTAGAGAGGAAGGCACTAGCAGCTGGGGCCACAAAAAGTGTGCCTGAGGCGGTCCTTGAAGGGATGCTGGGATTCCATGGGGCAGAGATGGGGAGGGGGTCCCCTGCAGGTCTGGGAGAGCTAGTGAAAAGGACAGAGGTCAGAGGTGGCGGGCTGTATTTGAGGAACAGCAGACACTAGCCTGGCTGGACCACAGAATCCATGGAGGGGAATGATGGGTAAGAGGGCTGGACAGACCTAATGGAATCAGGAGGTGAAGAGCTTTAAATAGAGGAGCACATGCATGTTTAACCACTTTCTAATCTGGACTACAGTTATTTGTGTCTGTCTCACTCTCCTAGATTAAAAACTCCTTGAGGGCAAAGATTCTATCTTCTCCATCTCTGCATCCACAGGCCCAGCAGAGTCCTATGCATCTAGCAGGTACTTAGAAAGTTTGCGGAATTGAACAACCTAACATCCTTAGGACTGTATCATGTCCCCTCTCCTCACCATCCCAGTGACCTGTACGTAGAGGACTACATTTCACAGAATGAGGGGCCAATCTTTGCTGTTAACAGATTTCCTAAGGCATGGAAGGAGGGGCTGGGGAAGCAGGAAAGCATGAGGACTCCGGCACTTACAACCACTAAATTGGTGCTCACAACTGGGGAACAAGCCCCCCAGGTCTTGTGTAGGTGACACAATGCAGAGGAAGGCAATGAGGTCCCTGCCTTTGGAGAGCTCCCAGCAGGAAGGGGGAAAACAAGAGTGGTAAAGGTTCCTTACAGCCCTCATCTCCTGCCTGGACATTTCCACTGGCTATCTCAGGCATCTGGAAGGTTCTTCCTCCTAGTGTCCACTCTTAGCTTCCCTTAAGGTTCAGCTAAAGTCTCACCTTGGACAAGAAGTCTCCTTAATCTGAGTGCCTTCCTTCAGAAATTCTTTCCAATATACCCCGTAGAGATCTTGCATGTACCAAGCTGTTTGCACGTCATCTTCCCCATCCGACCATGAGCCCCTTGGGAACGGGGGTTTTGGTTTGTGCATTTCTCCACATCCCCAATAATTAGCACAGTCCTTGGCACATGGGAGGCTTTTCCAAAGTCCAGAATTGTCAGGTCAAGGAGAAAATACTACAAGCAGCCAGAAAGAAACAGTTTAAATATTGTGGAACCACAATCAGAATTATGAAGGATTTAGCAGCTTCTACATTAAAGGATTGGAGGGCCTGGAATATGATATTCCGGAAGGCAAATGAGCTTGGATTACAACCAAGAATCAACTATTCAGCAAAATCGAGTATAATCTTTTAGGGGAAAAGATGGATATTCAATGAAATAGGGGACTCTCAACCATTCCTGATGAGAAATACCAGAGCTGAACAGAAAATTCTATCTTCAAATACAACACTCAAGAGAAGCATAAAAATGTAAATGGGAAAGAAAAAAAACCCAGGTTATCCAATCAAGATAAACTGTTTACATCCCTACATGGGAAGATGATACTTGTAACTCCTTCAAACTGTATCTTTATTATGGCATTTAGAAGAGGTATACACGAACAGAGGGCGAAGTATAAATTAACTTTGACGTGATAATAAAAATAATTAATTAAGGGGTACGGAAAAAAAGGATAGTACTAGGAGAAGAGGAAAGGAGGAGGCAGAATAGGGTAAATTACATCACAGGAAGAGGTGCAAAGATCTATTATGGTAGAGGGAAAGAAGGGAGGGTGTCAAGCATTGTTTGAACCTTCCTCTCATCCAGTTTGGCACACAGGAGACATTTAATAAATGTTTTGGGGCTTAAGTTGACTTGCAAGCAAAGAAAGCTACCCTAGCACCAGCTGAGCACTGTGCTTAACTGTTCTGGATCCCAGGGGCCCATTAATGAAAGGCAAGATCTGGCCCCACGAAGGGTAACATTAATTGGGGAAACATGATGAACTGTGCTAACCGCCAGGAAAGGTCTGGGTGGCAAAGGGAAGGCTGTCCTGGAGAAGAAGTCAGACCTGTTGCACATCACTGACTGTATACCTGAATAAACTGATAAGATTGGGGTGAAGATAAGGATGTCCCATATGCCAGCATCTGGCTTCCCATCACCTGCAACCTCTCTCCCTCCCAGGAGGATTCCTTCCAGGTGTCTGCCATCTTCTTCTTCTCTAAGCCTCAGTTATCTCTCTGCTTACCATTTTCCCATTGTGATTGTGTCCATCATATTCCAAGTCACTCACTGTGCGCCCCCCCCCATCCACCTCCCTCCCAAAATCCAGGCTTCCTGCTCCCTGGCCTTAGGTGTGTCCGGGCTATAGCAATCAGGGCTGTGGCTCTCTTCCTTCTTAGGATCATGTCCCAGCGCATCTGGGGTGGGGTGGGGGGAGGGGGGAGGACTGTGGGAAAAGGGGTTCTGTAGTATCCTCAGAAAGGGTGAAATCAATGGAGTCACAGTGTCTTTTGACTGGTAACTCCACAGCATCCATGTGCAATCAGTGCTCCAGTCCATTTGACCTCCACCACATTCTCACTGCTGCCACCTTAAGTCGAGCAATCATCACCTCCACCAGGACTACTTCACCTGCCTTGTAACTGGGCTGATTCTAGTTTGTCCCCTAGCCACCCCGCGCCCTCCCCCCACCCCAGCCCCCCGTCCTACAAAGGCAGGACATTAATCATTCCAATGCTCACCTTGAATCAAGCTGCTGGCCAACTCAAAAGCCTTCTTCCATGGTTCCCCATTACTTACAGAATTAAAGTTCAACTTCCTTAGGCTGGCATTCAAAGTCCTCCATAAGATAGCTCCAACTCACCTTTCCAGCCTTCCCTCCCACTTCCCTCCCACACTCTGCTCTCATTGTTCCTCCAAACCTATCCCTGTGAGCCTTTGCAGAGTCTGTCTGTTGTCTGTTTCTCCCTCTCCCTCTCTCCCCCTCTCTCTCCTTCTATCTCTTCTTCCCTCTCCCTGTCCCTTACCCTCTCTCTGTCTCCCTACATCCCCCAATGGCCCCTCAATCCCAATCCCTAACAACTGAATTCTACTTAGCCTTCCAAGCCCACTTTTAATGTCAGTGAACTCTCATCAGGTTTTGTTTATGCTTCTCTAATGGCCCCTAATAATAATGTAATAATAGATAGCATTTATAGAGCGCTTTAAAGTTTGCAAAGCATTTTGTAACTATCTCATTGGTGCCTTACGACCACCCTGGGAGGTAGGTGCTATCATTTTCCCATTTTACAGATGAGGAAACTGAGACAGACTGAGGTAAATGATTTGCCCCTGACTACACAGGTTGGAAGTCTCTGAGGTTGGATTTGAACTCAGGTCATCCTGACTTCAGGTAAAGAACTATTCGTTGCACTGCTTCTACCTGCCCAGCCAGCCCAGGATTACTGTTATATGTACTTGTGTTAACCCACACGCTAGACTGTATACTCCTTGAGGGCAGGGATTGAATCTCATTCTTCTCTATCTTCCCCTGAGTAACCTAACATGTAATTAAGTGCTAAGTGGGCAGTTAGGTGGTACAGGGATAGAGGCTAGACCTGGAGTGAGGAAGACCTGAATTAAAATCCAGTCTCAGACACTTCCCAGTTGGATGACCTTGGGTAAGTCATTTAACCCTGTTTGCCTCAGTTTCCTCATCTGTAAAATGAGCTAGAGAAGGAAATGGCTAACCACTCTAGTATCTCTGCCAAGAAAACCTCAAATGGGGTCCTGGAGAATCAGAAATGACTGAAATGACTGAAGAACAACAAAAAAGTGCTAAGTAACTGAGTGGGCACCCTCTCCAGGTGCCTCAAGAGCTTGTCAAATGGTTTGAGATTGGAGGTTTACTCTCAGGCTGATTTCCCCTCTCCTGGTTCCCCACTTTCCCTGCACATTTCCATACCATGCCACCCAAGTGCTGTTTGCTAAAAAAGATTTTAAAAATAACAAAAAACTCATTTTAGCATTTAGCATTATCTGGAACAAAATATAATAACAGAATGAACTCCAAAATGCAAAAGAAATGGCTTGGGAATGATCTTGAGGGATTGTCCAAATCCGTGCTCTCTGGCTTTGCTCTGTCCACCTCTCTGACCCTTAACACTCGGAGCTGACCCCGATACTGGCAAACTGAGGTCAGGGACCCCCCTGCTAATTGCTTGTTAGTAAACAATAATTCATTACTGATTAAAATCTACTCCTCCAGAAAATCTTCATAGATTAACTTCACCCACCACAATCATTCCTCTGCTTCATCTTCTTACACAACAAGCATTTGAATTTGTTGCTATATGATTCGGTCGGTATGGGGTGTGTGTGAGTGTGTGTGTGTGAGTGAGTGTGTGTGTGTGTGTGTGTGTGTGTGTGTGGTTGTGTGTGTGTGTGTGTGTGGCCTGCAAGCAGGGGTCATTTCTTTTTTTTTATTTAATTTTTTTTATTTTTTCCATATGCTTTTGAGTTGAAAATTTTTCTCCCTTTTCCTCCCCCCAACCCTCCCCAAGACGTCACACAATCTGATATAGGCTTTACATTTACATACCCATTAAACATATTTTCACATTAGTGAAGTTGTAAGTGAAAATTAAAACCAATAGGAGGAACCATCAGAAAGAGGAAACAAAACTCAACAGAAGGTAAAAATAAGTGATAGTGATTCGACTTCCATAGTTCTTTCTTTGGATGTGACAGCTTTCCATCCCGAGGCCTCTGGAATGTCTTAGATCCTCATAATGCTGAGAAAGGTTCAGTTTAACAATCTTAGTCATTGCATAATGTGGCTGTTATTGTGTACAAAGTCCTCTTGGTTCTGCTCACTTCACTCAGCATCAGACCATATAAGTCTTTCCAGGTTTTTCTGAAGTCAGCCTGCTCATCATTTCTTACAGCACAATAGCATTCCATTACATTCATATACCACAACTTGCTCAGCCATTCCCCAATGATGGGCATCCTCTCAATTTCCAATTCTTTGCCACCACAAAAAGAGCTGCGATGACTATTTTTGTACATGTGGGCCCTTTTCCCATTTGTTTGATCTCTTTGGGATATAGCCCTAGAAGTGTTATTGCTGGATCAAAGGGTATGCACATTTTTGTAGCCCTTTGGGCATAGTTCCAAATTGTTCTCCAAAATGACTGGATCATTTCACAACTCCACCAACAATGTATTAGTGTTCCAATTTTCCCACATCTCTCCAACATTTATCATTTTCCTGTTTTGTCATGTTGGCCAATCTGATAGGTGTGATGTGGTACCTCAGAGTTGTTTTGATTTGCATTTCTCTAATCAATAACGATTTAGAGCATTTTTTCATATGACTATAGATGGCTTTAATTTCTTCATCTGAGAACTGTCTGTTCATATCCTTTGACCATTTATCAATTGGGGAATGGCTTGTGTTCTTATAAATTTGTCTTAATTCTCTATATATTTTAGAAATGAGGCCTTTATCAGAGAGACTGGTTGTAAAAATTCTTTCCCAATTTTCTACCTTCCTTCTAATCTTAGTTGCATTGGCTTTGTTTGTGCAAAAACTTTTCAATTTAATGTAATCAAAATTATCCATTTTGCTTTTCATAATGTTCTCTATCTCCTGTTTGGTCATGAATTCTTCTGTTCTCCATAGATCTGATAGGTAAACTATTCCTTGTTCTCCCAGTTTACTTATGGTATCAGCCTTTATATCTAAGTCCTGAACCCATTTTGACTTTATTTTGGTATATGGTGTGAGATTTGGGTCTATGCCTAGTTTCTGCCATACTCTTTTCCAGTTTTCCCAGCAGTTTTTTTCAAAGAGTGGGTTCTTATCCCAGAAGCTGGGGTCTTTGGGTTTATCAAATAATAGATTACTATAGTCATTGACTACTGTGTCTTGCATATTTAACCTATTCCACTGATCCACCTCCCTATTTCTTAGCCAGTACCAAGCAGTTTTGATGATTGCTGCTTTATAATACAATTTAAGATCTGGAATTGCTAGGCCACCTTCCCCTGCATTTCTTTTCATTAGTTCCTTTGATATTCTGGACCTTTTGTTTTTCCAAATGAATCTTGTTATTATTTTTTCTAACTCTATAAAATAATTTTTTGGTAGTTTGATTGGTATGGCACTGAATAAGTAAATTAGCTTAGGTAGGATTGTCATTTTTATTATATTAGCTCGGCCTACCCATGAGCAACTGATGTTTTTCCAATTATTTAGATCTGATTTTATTTGTGTGAAAAGTGTTTTGTAATTGTGTTCATAGAGTTCCTGGGTTTGTTTCGGGAGGTAGACTCCTAAATATTTTATAATGTCTACAGTAAGTTTAAATGGGATTTCTCTTTCTATCTCTTGCTGTTGGGCTTTGTTGGTAATATATAGAAATGCTGATGATTTATGTGGGTTTATTTTATAGCCTGCAACTTTGCTAAAGTTGTTTATTATTTCAAGTAGTTTTTTACTTGATTCTCTAGGATTCTCTAAGCACATCATCATGTCATCTGCAAAGAGTGATAGCTTTGTTTCTTCTTTGCCTATTCTAATGCCTTCAATTTCTTTTTCTTCTCTTATTGCTAAAGGTAAGGTTTCCAGTACAATACTGAATAACAGTGGTGATAATGGACATCCTTGTTTCACCCCCGATCTTATTGAAAATGCTTCTAGCCTGTCCCCATTACATATAATGCTTGCTGAAGGTTTTAGATATATGCTATTTATTATTTTAAGGAAGACTCCATTCATACCTATGCTTTCTAGTGTAAGCAGGGGTCATTTCTATTGCTTTAGGTGCTCTCCAGCCCTGTCTGAGGGTGTTTTGCACACAACAGGTTAGCACTGCTTGAATACAAAAGGATCCCAGATCCCTGGTGGTCCTCGGGGACAGGATGCTGAGGACCTGGAGGTGAAAGTGGAGCCAAGAGGCTTTAAGTCTTGGGGGAACTAGAGATCAGTCAGTAAGCATTTATTCAGCCTGTACCGGCTCACCAGGTACCATCCTAGGCCCTGGAGATGCTAAGACATAGACTAAAGCAATCCCTCCTCTGAAGGGGCTTGGATTCTAATGAGGAGGAAGAAAACAAGGCCATACAAAATAATTCCACCTCTGACTGTGTGACTTTGGGCAAGTCCCTCTGCCTCTCAGCCCTCTGGGCAACCTTCTAAGATGTGGGTCCACCACCTTTTTGTGTCCTGGACCCCTGCAGCAGTCTGCTGAAGCCTAGGGACCCTTTTCAGAATCTTATTCTTAGACACACAAAAACTCACAGGATGACCAAGGAAATCGATTCTGTTGACCTATAGTTACTAAAATATTTTCTTATAAAAACAAGATCAGGGAAACAAGATAAAGAAAGCTTGCCTACAACTACATAATTCAGAGAAGGTGGAAGCCTGCACTGGGAGAAGGACTGTTCCCTATAGCAATGAAATCACAGGTTTCAGTGCTCTCCATCCCCACAGCATAAACAGCTCACTACACGGTAATTCGGGAGGGAGGTCCCTAGGGTGGGAGGTGAGGGAAGGCTGCAGGTAGAAAGAAGGTGGTCTTTGAGGAGCGGGACTCTGAAGCAGAGGTGATGAGGGAACAACTGTGGGGCCAGAAGGACGAGAGAGAGGACAGTTTGGCTGGATCTCAGAGCATGGGATGCAGAGCAATGTCTCTTCAATTACAGCTGAGATTCAACAAGAAAAACCTCAATGATGCCCCCACCTAGTAAAATATCCGTACGGGGTTTTACAGTTGCATCAGACTAAGGCCGAAGAGCAGGTTTCTCAGATAAGGTCTTGGTTTGCTCGGGAAGCCCTCGCTGCATTTTCTAGTACCTCCCAGTTATGCTTGTAACCAGTTAAACCACACCTAGCTTTCGGTGGAGGCGGGCTGCTCGATTAGGAGTGATGTTTTGTCACCTACTAAGGACTGACCCCAGTTGGGGGTGGAGAAGGAGTGGTTTATCTAAATGGAGAAGGTTATGAGAGTTTAAGATATCTGCTTCCTCTCCTCTTGGTAAGTGCTCCTACCAAGGGGTAGGTCTGGTCCTTCTTTCTTCTCCTATCTCGTGTTCCCCTATTCCTTATTTCAGAGCGCAATGACAATTGTCTACAAAGGTCTGACCGATTCTCGGGTGAAAGGCAGGATATTTGCATCTGGAAAGAAAGGACCACAGAGGTTGAGTCCAATCTGGGTAATCTCCTCAGCTTCCAGGGTTTCAATCATCATCTTTATACAGATGACCCTCAGATCTACTCGTCCTCCAAACTCACGTCTCCAACTGCCTTTTGGGCAAGAAAGACATCTCAAACCCAACCGACGTCATTATGTTTCTCCTCCCACTCCCGTCACCCCCCAAACCTCTGTCACAGACACTACCATCCACCCATTCCCCCAGGCTCCTGGCTCTTTTACCAATTCCTTCCCCGCCTCCATATCTAATCAATTACCAAGTCCTGTCAATTCTGCCATCTCTTGTATACACCCCCCTCTCTCCTATGATAACTGCCCCGACTCTGGTGCAAGCCCTCACCACCTCACATCTGGACTGTTGCAATAGCTGCTGGCCGGGGTGGGGGCAGGGGGCCTGCCTGCCTCCAGTCTCTCCCCACTTCCACCTGTCTTCAACTCAGCTGTCAGATGGCTCTTCCTAAAGTGCAGGTCTGACCCTGTCACTCATCACCTCAAAAACCCCCAGTGGCTCTCTATTGCCTCCAGGATCAAATAGAAAATGCAGAGGCTTTCAAAGCTCTTCATAACCTGTCTGCTTTTCCAGTCTTCTTATATCTTATTCCCCTCCATATAATCTGAGATGTAGTGACTGGACTCCTTGCTGTTCCTCACACAAGACACTCCATCTACCAACTTGGAGTATTTTCATTGGCTGTCCTCCAGGACTAGAGCTCTCTCCCTCCCCGTGTCTGCCTCCTGGCTTCCCAAAAGTCTCAGCTGAAGTCGCACCTTCTGCAAGACTTCTCAGGTCCGCCTTCATCCTAGCGCCTTCCTCTGAGATTACCCCGTATTCACCTCGTATGTACCTTATTTGTACATAATGCTTTGCATGTTGTCACTCCCATTAGACTGTGAGCTCCTTAGGAGCAAGGACTGGCTCCCCAGTGCCTAGCACACTGCCTAGCACATAGTAGGTGCTTCTTAAATGCCAGCTGATTAGTCAACAATTGTTGTTTTACAGATGAGAAAACAAGTCATAGGTAGTAAGGTGCAGAGGTGGCATGGTTTTTTTTTCAGAGGAGGAATTTTAACCCAGATTCTCTGAACTCCATTTAGCTTCAGATGCTAAGTGAGAATGTCTTGGGACTTGGCACAAAGATGCCTGAATGTTAATTAGGAGGAAAATATACAAGGACTGGGGGGAGAGGACATTTACATCATGGGAAGGAAATGAGAGACTTGGGTGGAGGAAGTCAAGGACTAGGGGGCAGGATAATTGGGTCCTAATACCAATCCCCGTGAATAACAGGTTTGCCTTGTCTTCATCCCATCCCCAAGTCTGTGAACAGCTCTATTGATGCCCTACCTTCCCAGTGCCTGGGGCAGCAGTGGGGTTGTGAAATCATTTGCAAATGGGTAACAGCATGGTATCCCCTCCCTGAGCCCAAGGGATGGGTGGTGGGACTTAGGGGTGAGTCAGTGGGGTGGGACCCCTAACTCTCTACACGTTCTTCTCCTGGGGGATATAAAGGACAAGGGCTGGGGCCACGCCTCAGAGCACCCCAAACCAGTCATCATGAAGGTCCCTGTCCTTTCTATCATTGTTCTGCTCTCTCTCCTGGCTGTCCAATCTGCCCAGGGGGCTGCCCTAGGAGACTCTCAGGTAAGCACATGGCTATTTTTTCTTATCCCCTCTATGAGGCCCCGTGCTATCTCTTCTTTGGCCGGGGGACAGTTGGCATCCATGGACTCCTGATTCATTTCTTACAATGGGTAATTCAGAGGCTGAATTAGTGAACTAGTGGCCAGGAGGGCTTAGGGCCAGGTGGGTGAGAGGAACAGCATATCTGGCTCTTGGTTGGGAAAGATGCCTATATTTCTGGGAAGGAGGACTGGATGTCTGTGTCCTGGGAAAAAAAGCAAGCACAGGCTGACTGAATGCCTGAGCTCCAAACGCCCATGTGCTACCACTTTCATCCCTGGGGCTCTTCATTTTGAAGTGCAGATGACATGGAGAGCCTAGGATCTGGGACAATCCTAAGTCCTCTATGGATGAAGGGGTGTGTGTATGTGTCTACATACATATACTATACATACACATATATACGTATAAATGTGTTTCTATATAGTTGTTTAATGTTGGCTTCATCAGAGAGAAAGAAGGGATAGTGGGGTTCTATCTTGTCTCTTGAGGGCAGAAGTCACTAGGTCATGATGGAAACTTAAAGTGTGTGATGCATGATGGGGAAGGGATGTACTGAAGCTCAAGGCAGACAGTACAGAGTGCATTGGGGTGGGAGGGAAAGCAATGTGAAGGAGTATAGAGAGATGAGGAATAGGGCCATAGATTTGGCACTGGAAAGGCTTCACCTCTGAGATCATAGAGTCCATTTTTCACAGAATGAGAGAGGTTGAGTGATTTTCCCATGGACACACAGTCAGTGTCTGGGACGAGATTTGAACTCAGGTCTTGTTGACTACAAGCCTACTGCACCATCTTGTGGAAGCCTGAAACATGACAGTCCCGGTTGGGAAAACCAGGCATCCTGACTCTAGGTTCTGAAGATTATCTGTTAAATAACATGAATTAGCTTTTCACGTGAAGATTTCTCTTTTCTTCTTGCCTACCAATGACTAGACTGGACAGCTGAAAATTCAGGAAGATATGGCCCCCAAATCCCCTTCTGGTCCCATTCTTGCTACTCACCAAACTCCCCATCTTCCCCTCCCTCCCATCCCCACCCCTCTTCCCCAGACCCAGCCACTAAGACAGAGAAGATAAACTGAGGCTCAGTAGAGATGGCTGGAAAATGGCAAAATCAAAACATTATTTAGGTCTTTCCTAAGTTCTAAAGAGGGAGAATAGGGTGGCAGAGACGATGATGATAATTTGGCTTTTTTCATTCTCTTCTCTACTTCTAGAGAGGGACCACTACGGCCAATTACGCAGAGAGATCTGAGGTAGGCAACTTTATTCCTTCTCCCTATTTCTTGCTCTTACCCTTCCTATGCCTTTGAACCCCCCTTTGACGTTCTTAACACCTCCATTTCTTCACCTAGAACTCGGACACCCAGTTCCTGAATGTGGACAGGTGGCGTTCTGTAAGTATGAGTTTTTGTCTCCCCATCAGGCAAGATTCTACACCCATATTAATTGACAAGCTCCTCTCCCAGACTCAAAAGTTGGATAACTTCATTGTGGGTTCGGGATACTTTGGTGAATGATCTCAGCTCCCTTCACTCAACTTCTCCTTCGGTGCAGGTGCTGGGGTAGGGGATGGCCCCCACCCCTTTCCTCATGCCTCACCTGCTCCTTCTGTCCCCTCTCCATACAGGCCTTCCAGTCCAAGGAGTTTCTAAACTGGCATGCCCTCTATGAGGTAAGTGCTTTGCCTCCGTGCCTCCTTTCAAGGAGGGGGGGGAACAGAAGATGCTGGTTCTCAAAATCCTCCCATGTTCTGGGATGGGCAATAAGGAAGATACCTTTTTTATATACATTCAACAAACCGTCCTGGCAGATCCTGTCCAACAAATTACCCTACAAAGCTACTGCCAAATGGAGGGGGGAGGGGAAGGGAGGATAGGGAGAGAGCCAGAAGAAGCAGAAGTGGTAGATTCATTCATAGAATTGCAGAATTCTCAACATAAGAGAGACTTCAGGGATCCTCCCACCCAGCTTCCTCACATGATGAGAAAAGTCAAGTTCATCGATGAAATGACTGGTGAAGTCCATGGTCACCCAGGTTCAGAAATCCTCAGGTTTAGAGTGGTAAACGACCCCCGAGGACATCCAGGAGTGTCCCAAGTTAGAGGACCTAAAGCTCAGGGAAGTTAGTGCCTTGTTTAGGGGCCCTCAAATAGTAAGTATCAGAGGCAGCATTTGAATCCAGGCTCTCTGAGGCCAGAGCCGCTGGTCACTCCTCAGTACCATCTTGCCTCAGTCGGTCTCCTCTGTTCTTTCCCCTACACCACCACTGCCATTCAATATTACCTAGAATGAAAATTTATATAAAGCATTTAGTAAATCCTAAAGCAGGATGTAATGTCAGCTAGTAAACAGTTACGGAGCATCTACGTCTCTTAGCCATGCTCACTCTTCCTGCCTTACTGCTCCCATGATACCTTCAGACTATTGGACCATAATCCATATTTTCTCCTTCCAGGCTATTAAAGAAAAACTCCCCTTCCTCAACTGGGACGCGCTCCCCAAGGTAAGAATGTGGGGGCACTGGGAGGGTCCAAAAGGTTTGGAGGAGATGGGGAGGAAGGGAGGCAGATAGGATAGATGCAGGGGAAGGTTCAGGAATGATTGCCTCCTGTTATCATATGTGGGAAATGGGAATTTGGCTACTGAAGTCCAGAGAAGGGTGGGACCTTGGACTCTTGGGCTTGAAATTCTTGTTCGATCTCACCAATCCCCTATCTGGGCCTCAGTTTCCTCCCAGAGGTATCCAGTTCCCTGGAACTCTGGGCCCCCATTTGATCATCTTTTCTCTCCTCTCTCTCCTCCCTCTTTCTAGTTGAAGGGAATGAGGAGTATAATTCCTGATGCCCAGTGATGCCCCACACTGACACTCTCATAACGAAGCCGTGATTTGCAACACCTAAACTACCCTGGAGAATTTAGGGGACTGATTTGAGATCTGCTTCGTGCCAGACATCTCCCCCTGCCCTTGCAGTTCAAATAAAGATAATTCCACCTGTGAAACCCTCCTGGGCTTCTCGGACCTTTTACTCCTTTGTTCAAGAATGGAGCCAGGAGAGAAGCTGAGGGGTCCAAGAAATCCAGCAGGCAAGGGAGCAGGAATCTGGAGTACTGAGGGTCAGGGAGAAGAGGAGTGCAGGCAGGAGGGAGAGGACTGGGGCCTGGAAAGCATGTGATGCTAGCAACTGCACGTCCATATGGCGCCTTTCTGATATCATTCTAGAGGACGGGATGGCCTGCACCTGCAAAGGTGGCGTAGGAGAGATCTGAAGTCCAGACAGAGCCTATTATACATTTCCTTATTCTCTGGACTCCCTTAAGCAAAGCAGCACATTCATTCAACAAACACATGCCGAGTCTCTGTGAAACAGTCTGAAATATACTGGAAGCAGTAAGGGTACAAGGCAAGGATGCAAAAGGGACTAAGGCTGTGTCCAAGTGCTCATTTTAAAAAACAGATTTTATTGGTATTTTCTTTTTGCATTGCTTACATTGCCCCCGTATCTTTTTTCCTCCCCACTCCTACAGAGCCATCCTCTGTACCAAATGAGAGAGAGAGAATTAAGAGACAAATATGTTCTGCAAAACCAATCCACAAATTAAAAAAAAAAACTTTTGTCATATATAATGTACAAACCCCTGCCTGTACAAAGGAGTAGGAGAGGTGAATTCTAACGCATCTTCTTTGGGACCAAGCCAAGCACTTATTAATACAATGTAGGCACAGTAATTTCCATCAGAGAGGTACAAATATAAGTTCAGTGAAATCACATGCATCATAAGAAAGGTACAGAGTGCTACCAACACTAGAGATAGAGTAAGGCTTTATCTGAGTGATCGACATAGAAGGGAAAATGGAGAAGGAAAGAGAACAATTTTAAATAGAGAATGATTTCAAATAAGCATTATGAATTGAATAATCATTATCCGTTACACTCTAGATTAGATGCCATAGAGACTAAGGCATTTAATGGATATTTACATTAAATGTCTAGGCATTGGTGGAGAACAGGAAGGAGTCTACTGGTAAATGTTTAACAATTGGCTCTGAGGTTGGGGGAGACATACCCATGACACACTTATGAGTTAAATCTGCATTCTTCACATTTTCTTCATCACGTCCTAGCCTAGAAAATCAACAAAACAATAAAGTAAGCCCTGATTTGTAGCGTTTGCCAGTTTCTAAGGGGTAAATGCTCATAGAGAAAATTTAACAATTGTCTCTGTTTCTCAAGCTATGGAACTGATGACTTCAGCACAATCCTGAGACCAGGATACATAAAATAATACAGGGTCTTTTCTCTTAAATAGAATAATGAGATTATATAATTGTTTTAGTTAGAAGGGACTTAAGAGTGACCTAGTCCAGCTCCTTCACTGTGTGTACAGCTGAATTTATGCCAAGTAATCTGATTCTGATCAGGGAAGCTTCCAGAGAGGAGATAAGTTTCTGATCTGGAAACTGGCAGGACAGAAACTGGTGTAGACGTTTGAGGAAAGCCGTTCAGATCACACTAACAAATAGTATTGAACTTGTACTCTAAGTGCAATGACCATGGAGACTGTCAAGAAGTGTATGATGTGAGTCTTTACAAATAGCTGAGGAAAGAAGAAAAGGGGAAGGGAAAGGAGAAAGGGCGAATATATACCCAACTGAATGCAAAATTCCAAAGAATTTCAAGGAGAAAGAAAAAGGTTTTCTTAAGTGAGCAATGCAAACAAATAGAAGAAAATAACAGAATGGAAAAGATAAGAGATCTCTCCAAGAAAATTAGAGATGCCAAGAGAACATTTCATACAACAATGGGCATGATAAAACACAAAAATGGTAGGGATTTAAGAGAAGCAGAAGAGATTAAGAAGAAGTGTCAAGAACACAAAAAAGAAAAAAGGAAGAAAGATCTTAACATCACTAATGAGCATGATGGTGTGGTTACTGATTTAGAGCCAGACATGCTGGAGAATGAAGTCAAGTGAATTCCAGCTAAGCTATTCAAAACTCTAAAAGATGATGCTGTTAACATGCTGCCTTCAATATGCTAGCAAATCTGGAAAATTCAACAGCGGCCACTGGGGTAGAACAAATCAGTTTACATCCCAATTCTAAAGAAAGTCTATACTAAAGAATGTTCCAATTACAAAACAGTTGTGTTCATTTCACATGCCAGCAAATTTATGCTTAAGATTCTGCAAGCTAGCTACAGCAATATGCAAACTGAGAATCACCAGAAGAGCAGGATGGTTTTCGAAAAGGCAGGGGAAATAGAGACCAAATTGCCAACCTTTCCTGGAATATGGGAAAACCAAGAGAGTTCAGAAAAACATCTGTCTCTGCTTCACTGACTACACTAAAGTCTTTAACTGCGTGGATCACAACAAAACGTGGCAAGTCCTCAAAGAGATGGGAGTGCCAGGTCATCTTACATGTCTCCTGAGGAACCTGTATGAGGGCCAAAATGCAACATGGAGCAAACCAAACATGGAACAACTGATTGGTTTAAGATTGAGAAAGGAGTACAACGAGGTTGTCCATTGTCACCTTATTTATTTAACTTATATACAGAGCACATCATGTGAAATGCCAGGCTGGGTGAACCAAAAGCTGGATTGCTGAGAGAAATATCAGCAATCTCAGAGACGCAGACGATACTGCTCTCAGATATGTAAGTGATACCACTCTAATGGCAGAAAATGATGAGAAATTAAGAAGCCTCTTGATGAGGGTGAAAGAAGAGAGTGCAAAAGCTGGCCTGAAGCTTAACATTAAAAAACAAACCCAAAACCTAAGGTCTTGGAAACTGGTCCCATCAAAGGAAAAGATGTCAGAGGATGAGATGGACAGAGTGTCATGGGAAAAATGAACATTAACTTGGACAGACTTGAAGAGAGAGTGGAAGATAGAAAGGCCTGGTGTGCTAGGGTCCATGGGGTCAGGAAGAATCAGACCAGGCAGAACGACTCAACAACAACAATGACGACAACATCTGGGCCTTGTCTTCCACAGGGTTAGCCTATGCAGAGGTTTGAAAACAGGGACTACAGGTAGGGGATGAGCAAGAAACTGTCCACAGTTTGCCTACTGAGCTTACTTGTCAAACACTGAATTGTGGGGTGGTTGGGGAATCCTACAGGGTTATACTCTTAAAGCGGCCAAGGGCATGGTCAGAGTTGGTAGAAAACATACCCCCAAAAGCCTAGGACACATCCCACAAGGATGTACAAAGTCAAAGAGAAAGTGGCTTTAGGCTTAGAAAGATCCTGCTGCAAAGGGGTGAATGTGCAGCTCTTGGCTGCAGGAAGTCTTATTCTCCTCAGCAAGGTCCCCCGTGTTATGACGTAGCTTTCATGGGGCTCCTAAGTCCTGAAAATGCCTCTCTCCATGGGGTCCACTCTAACCTTACTCCCCTAGGCAGCTGCCACCCTTAGACACAGACTTTTTGAGAACACTGCTACCATCACAGGTGGAAAATCCCAAATCTTCCAGCCCTCTGAGGTGACTTGGCCAGAGTCACACTGGTGGTAAAGGTTGGATCCTAGATTCAACCCAAAGTCTTCTGATGCCAAATCCAAGGTTAGTTCTTCCGTATCCCAGTGTCTCTTGAGGCAACTAGGCAGCACAGTGGATGGAATACCAGGCCTGAGTTAAGGAAGACCTGAAAGCAAATTCAGCCTCAGATACTTACTAGCTGTGTGACTCTGGACAAGTCACAAGTCTCTATCTGCCTCAGTTTCTTCCACTGTAAAATGAAGATAATAACAGCACCTAATTCCCAGAGTTGTGGTAAAGATCAAATGGTATATTTTCAAGGTGTTTAACATGATGTCTGGCATATAGTAAGTGCTATAGAAATGCTTATTGCTTTCCCCTTCAACTGAAGTAAAAAAGGCAGAGGTAATAATCGTGATTTCAGGTAAGGCAAAAATAGACCTAATTAAAAAAATAAACAACGAAACTACATTTTGCTAAAAGGCACCTTCACAATGATCTGATAGCAATACTAAAAATACATCATTTTTGCCAAATGGCATAGCACCTAAATTCTTAAAGGAAAACTTAAATGTGTTACAGGAAGACATATACAGTAAAACCATAAGATTGGGGAGACCTAAATTTACCATTCTCAGACCTAGATAAATTGAACCAAAAAATAAACAAGAAAGAAGTTAAGGATCTGAATAGACTTTCAAAAAAAGTTAGGTATAACAGACCTCTGGAAAATACTGAATGGGAAATGGATGGAGTACACCTATTAAAAAGAGTATACATTTAACAAAATTAACCATGCACTAGGGCATAAAAACCTCACAAACAAATGCAGAAAAGCAGAAATATAAAATTGCATCTTTTGCTGACCATAATGCAATTAAAAATTATTTTCAATAAAGGGCCTTTGAAGCAAAGATTAAAAATTAATGGAAACTAAATAACTTAATCCTAAAGAATGGATTGGTCAAAGAACAAATAATAGAAACAATAAATAATTTCATTAAAGATAATGCTAACAATGAGACAAAATGTACCAAAATTTATGGGATGAAGCCAAACTAGTAATTAGGAGAAATTTTCTATCTCTAAACTCTTTCATCAATAAAAGAAAGAACAGACCAAAGAACTGGGAATGCAGCTAAAAAAATTAGAAAACCAACAGATTAAAAACTCCTAAATAAACATCCAAATAGACAACCTAAAAATTAAAGGAAAGATTAACAAAGTTGAAAGTTAAAAACCCCTAACTGAATTAAGAGATAAAACTAGGGGCTTATATGTGTTGGTGTTGGTGCTGTTCAGTTGTTTCTAACTCTTCATGACCCTGTTTGGGGTTTTCTTGGCAAAGATGCTGAAGTGGTTTTGAACCAAACAGAGTGAAGTGATTTGCCCAGAGTCACAAAGCTAATAAGTATCAGAGGCTGGATTTGAACTCACAAAAATGAATGTTCCTGACGGCAGGCCCAGCTCTATCCACTGCAGCACCTAGTTGATGTGTGTGTATATGTATGTCTCTGTATATGTATCGATACACACATATGTATTGTATATGTGTATGCATATGTACACATATACATATACCCACACAGGCAATTAGCTAATTTGATTTAAAAAATAAAGAAGAAAACCAAATTACCAGCAGAAAAATTTAAAAGGTCAATTCACAACCAATGAAGAAAAAATAAAAGCAATTATTAGGAACCATTTTGCCCAACTATATGTCAATAAAACTAAAAATCTAAATGAAATAGATGAACATTTACAAAAATATAAATTGCCCAAATCAATAGAACAGAAAATAGAATACATAAATAACCCTTTTTTAGAAAAAGAAAAGGAATAAACCATAAATTAACTTCTAAAGAAAAAAATCCAGGACCTGAAAGATTTGCAAATGAATTCTACCAAACATTTAAAGAACAATTAATTCCAATCCTACATAAACTATTTGAAAAAAATAGGCAAAGAAAGAATTTTACCAAATTCCTTATATGACACAAATATGGTTTTGATAACTAAACCAGAGAAAGTCAAAACAGAGAAAGAAAACTATAGACCAATTTCCCTAATGAGTATTGATGAAAAAGTATTAAATAAAATATTAGCAAAAAGACTACAGTGATATATCAAAAAGATCTTACAGTATGGCCAGGCTGGATTTGTACCAGGAACGCAGGGCTGATTCAATACTAGGAAAACTGTAACTATAACTGACTATATTCATGACAAAAACAAAACAAAAAAAATATGATTATTTCAACATATGCAGAAAAAGCTTTTGAAAAAATATACCTATTATTGTTGAAAACACTAAAAAACCAAAGAAATAAATGGAACTTTCCTGAAATTAATAAGCAGTATCTTTCTAAAACCAAGAGCAACCATTATCTATAATACAGATAAGCTACAGCCTTCCCAGTAGGAGCAGAGTGAAGCAAGGATGTCCACAATCACCATCACTATCCAACATTGTACTAGAAATGCTAACTAGAGCAATAAGAAACAGAAACTGAAGGAATAAACATGGGCAAGGAGTAAACAAAACTATCCCTTTTTGCAGATGATACGATACTTTACTTAGAGAACCCTAGAGAGTCAACTAAATCAGTATTTACATATATTACCAACAAAATCCATCAA